AATTTTTTTTAATTTTTGAACATAATTGAATTTATGCGAAGAATTTTATTACTTTTGAAAATAATTGAATGTCTGCAATTATTTGTAACTTCTCCAAAATTCAATTTTTTCCAGTTACTTTAATAAAAATCCCTGACAGGCAACCCTGTAATTGAAAAATTATTGATTCTAATTTAAAAATTATTAAAATAATAATTTTATGAGCCGTTACAAAAATTGACACAATTCATAGAAAAAAAATTTCCTTTCAAAAATTAAAAGATATTTTTCATTTTCCCCGCCACTTTATCACTGTAATTTTCAAATCCGCCTCTGATAGACCTATATTCCTGATTTTGAAAAAAAAAAAAACCTTTTTTTTCGCTTTTGAATTGAATTTCCCTTGAATGATTATATAACAGAGAGAGACAAATTTTGTGGTTTGTAAACTTTAAGTGTCGTAAAATGGAATAAAAGAAAGAAAAATGCGACAGTCATCAGAAGCAATTTTTCGTCTAAACTGAGAAACATCTTGAGTTGCATTTTATACAAAAGCTCAAAGGAAAAATGTATAAGATTGGCCCGCATTTTGATGGAATAAGAATAAGGATGGTCGTAGTCGTAGTCGTCGTCTCGACTTGTGGCGCGTGCTACTGACTCCTTCAAGGATTTATTCCTTCCCTATATAAGTTTCAAAGAAGAATAATAATACAAAAAAAAACCTATGGCGAGTTTCCTTCCTCCTATAACAAGTAAACCACCGAAAGATTTGCGTGTCGCATTTCAAAAAGCCCGCACGACCTCTGTCACGCTCCTTATATACATTCAATCTATACAAGAAATTTTTCAACAATAGGCCGCATCCACAAATATAAAAAATTGCCCCCTTTCCCATTGATCCCGATTTTTGCATACGTAAACCTTATATGCAAAAAAAAAAAAAAAAAAAAACTACAACAACCGTCAATTTTTCAAAGAATGTAAAATTAATTAATGAATATTTTACATATATTTTTTTATATCAATTTGGATTCAATTGTATGTTCTTTACTTACAAGAAAAAGGTAACACACACGCGATGCTTTTTTTAATATATGAAACGTGATTCTTTCTTTTTTTCTTTATTCCACTACCTTGTATCTTTTTTTTAACATTTGTTTTGTATTAGCAGCTGACGCAAAAAACCACAAAATTTCATTGTAACAGAGAAATTATAATACAAAGTCACCCACTAGCCTATTTTTTTCTCGAAAATTAGGTTCTTTTTTAAATATTAAAATTACATGTCTTCATCATCGTAACAACTGTGCGTTGTTTTGCGGTCTACGCACAGTTATTAAGACATATACTTTTTATAGAAAATTGCAAATTTCTTCAATTCAAATTCTTTTATTACTCTATCTGGGTGTCTACTAACCGGAACATCCGGAAAAACCAAGAAATAGCCGGGAATTTAAATTGACCAGGAAAAACCGGAAATAAAGCCAGGAATTTTATGCCAAATCGGGAATTTCATCACCAAAATTAAAAAAAGTTTTATTATTTTAATTTGTTTTTAAAAAATCGCTTTTTATTTCAATTTTTCTAAATATTTATACTGTTCTCTAAATTCCAATTAGTTAAAAATAATTAATTTGATAGTAAAAAATCAGACACTGATTCAAATTAATATATAGTATGTAAATAAATTTTTAAAAAATTATCGAATTAAAAGAAATTTTGTGAAATTCAACTGAAAATAATTAAATTTGTTAAAGAATTGCATTCAAACTTTTTTAACAAATCGAATTTTCAAAGTATTTTAATTTAATAATTGATAAATAATTGAATTTTATAAAGAGTCACAATCAATGTATTTTATGTTTCTTAGTGCGAAGATTAATAATCAAAGTTTTTATTAGTTAATTTAAAAAAAGATACACACTTAAAATTTTTTAATAAAATTGTATTTTCGCAAAGTTTTTTTGAAAAATCTGAAAAATAAAATTTTTGAAATCTTTCAATTCTATTGTTTCAAGATAATTGAATTATTATAAACAAATAATTGAAAATTTTTGAAATAATTGAAATTTCTTTACATTCTATTAAAAATAATTGAATTCTTTTAAAAAATTTTATTTAAATTTTTCGAAAATAAGCAAGGGAAGTTAGTCACCGTAATTATAATTTTATTTTTCAAAATTTCTTCGCAATATATTCAATTATCTTCATAAATAGTAAAACTCATTGCAGAACTCCAATTATATTTTTAATACAATAATTTTAATAAAATTTCTCGAAAAATGTAATTATTCTTAAAAATTTTAATAAAATTCGTCGAAAGAATTCAATTATTTCTAGAAACTATGTAAAAAAATTCTTCTCAAGAATTCAATTATTTCCATAAATAGCAAAATTCTTCAGATTTACTAAATTCTTTTGAATATTATTTTTTAAAAAAGAATTCTTCACAAACGAATTCAATTATTTTCATAAATTTTCATAAAATTCTAAAAAACAATTCAATTATTTTTAAAAGTAATAAAATTCTTCGCAGAAATTCTATTATGTTTAAAAATTTTTTTTAATTCACAAAATTCCAATTATCTTTATAAATAATTAAATTGTTCTCCACAATTCAATTATTTACAAAAATTTTAATTATATTCTACGTAAATATTTAATTATTTTCAAAAATAATAACTACAATTACTAATTACTAACAATTACTATAATTACTATAATTACTACAATTACTTTTATAAATAGTAAAATTCTTTCCAGAAATTCAATTATTATCAATACAATTTTAATAAAATTGAATAATAAAATTTTCAATTATTATAATTATGAACAGACAAGATAATTTTAAAAAATTGAAAAAATTCTTTGTTTAATTCAATTATTTTCTATGTAAATCTTCAATTAAAATTATTAAAAAAAACATTATTTTCAAAAAATTTAAAGAAACTCGTCAAAAGAATTTAATTTTTCATAAAAACTCTAATAAAAATTTTTGAAGCTATTTATAGATTTTTTTTTGTTCGAAACCGAATAAATTTAAATTTGATGAGAAAAAAACCATTATTTTTCCAACCACCATAAATTTGAAATACCATCAGTATAGTTAAATTACGAATTTTTATAATATAAATTATTTTTGTAGGAAAATTTTGATAATTTAATCAATCTTTGTTTTTTTAGGGATACTTTTTTTTGAATTAGTAAAAATGTTTAATAATTTGAATTAATGACTCACTTTTTGTTTTTGAATTAGTAAATTTTACTAATAAATTAGTAAAAATTATTATTTATAAGTAGTAAATTTTACTAATAAATTAGAAGAAATTATTATTTATTAGCAAAATTTACTAATTCAAAATCAAATTCGTTTAATATAATAATTTAATTAATTCAATAAAAATCCGTTTAATAAAAATTTAATCAATTCAATTGAAATTAAATTACGCATAAAATTAGATAAAATTAAATTCGTTTAATATAAATAATTTAATTAATTAAATAAAAATCCGTTTAATAAAAATTTAATCAATTCAATTAAAATTAAATTTAATTAAAATTAGATTAAATCAAATTCGTTTAATATAATAATAATTTAATTAATCCAATAAAAATCCGTTTAATAAAAATTTAATTAATTCAATTGAAATTAAATTTAATTAAAATTAGATAAAATCAAATTCGTTTAATATAATAATTTATTTAATTAATCCAATAAGAATCCGTTTAATAAAAATTTAATCAATTCAATTGAAATTAAATTTAAATAAAATTTGATAAAATTCAAGTTTCCGGATTTAATTTGAAAACTAAAATTAGTTTCTATTAATTATTTTTGATGCAATGAAGAATTAATTATCAGTTAATTATATTGAAAGACAGTTCCTTTTGTGTATTTTAATTTCAAAAATTACAAACATAACCTCAATAATTTTTTTCTTCTTTTAGTAAAACCACGAGTAAAACTACCTTTCTTCGGAGCGCATCACATTTAACTATTAATTTATTGAATTTCAATTTAATTTACCTTAATTAAAATTTGATTAATTACAATTAAATAATTAAATTGAAAGTAAATTAATTAATATTAAGTGAAATTAAAAAGTAAATTAATTAATATTAGGTGAAATTAAAAACTAAAATTAAAATTTAATGATTTAATTAAAATTAAATTAATTAACATTAAACAAAATTGGATTAATATAAAATAATGATTTTGTCATTCGATCGTCTTTAATTTTTATAAAATATAAAGGTATAACGATCACTCCGAGTCGAAGGCTTAGGAGTGAATGAGTGATCATTACCTTCATATTTTATAATAAAATTTAATTAAATAAAATTAAAATAAAATTATAATTTTAGTTTTATAATAAAATAGAATTAAAATTAAATTATAATTTTAGTTTTATAATAAAATCAAATTAAATTATATAAAAACCAAATGTAATAAATTAAACAAAAATTATAAATACAACAAAGTGGAATAATACTATATACAATAAATTTCCAAAGAGAATCAAAAATTAACTTGAGAGAATAAAAACCTAAATTACCGAAGCTTGTATAGCCTGAGGGGGAGAAAAATTAAAAGAAATAATTTCCAATCTACACAGCAAAATGGAAAAATTTGTAATTGTTAAGAACGATAGAAATTTATGCTCTGCTTTCGGGACCCCAGTCACCCTATTTATCTCTTTTGCTCTCATTTCCCATTTTTCTCTGGACAGGCAGATGACATTTAGTCTCTTTTGGGTGAATTGTGGAATTATCAAGCAGTGTTGCAAAAAATAAAATATATATATGACAGTAGTCACCCACTATATACGGGGCTATTGACTATAACTGCACACACACACACATACACACATATACACCTGGGGTGAATGTTGAGTGCCTGAAAAGATCAGGTATAGAGAGTGGGGGAAGAATTGCAATGACTCTAGTGCTGCACCCTTACGTTTTGGACCTTCCTACATATAAGGCCCAGTCACTCACCCCTCCACATCAGTACAGAACTAACCGCTCGTTTGATCGGTCGTTATATTTCTCCATTCTGTTATCGCACACGCGACTTCTTTTCTAATATTCTATTCTATTTTTAAACAAAAAATTATTTATTTAAAAAAAAAGTTTTAAATTAAAAAATCTATTTATTTAATTTATAAGTTTATTTGTATTTACCATTTAAAAAAAAAGACCCTTTTTATTTTAACTTTAATGAACTTGTCCGAAATTGTGATATGCTGATTAGTGGGAATGTGTTTAATGAAAGTGAACAAAAATTGTGAACTGACAAACTCAAAATTGAAACAAAAAGGAATTTTTTCTTATGCCTATTAGTAGCTGAGGAAGGATTTTAGTTTTTTTCCCGCAAAAACAAGTGAGTTGAATTTTTATTTTTGAATTTAAAGAATCAAGTATGTGTGCTCTATGGAATTGAAAATAATTTTTCGGAACAATAGAAGAGACAATCTTTGACGCTTATCTTTTTTATATCATCGTCGTTCCTTATAAAAAACGCGGTTTATAGAAGTTATTCAAAAACCGGTTTTTCGTGAAGGAGGTCTAGACCTTTTAGGTTGGCGGTTCTAAAATCCTTTTCGCTTCTTGTCTCAAGAGAGAAACAGGAACTTCCATTCTCTAAATTGAAGTCAAAACTTTTCTATTTTTAAACTATATAGAAAACAATTTTTCGATTACTTTTTCGAATGTCATTCACTTTTTTTCGCACAATCAATTCAAAATTTGTAAATAAATCAATTTCTCGTCTAATTATTTATTATTAATTCACAATTTTAATGTAAAAAAATAGTGTACACTGAAAAAAATTGATTCAAATAACCGATTAATTGACTATTATCAATTAAATATTTAATTGAATCAATTAGTATTTATTGGAACCAATTATAAATGGTATTTGAACCAATTTAAATTAGTAAATCAAGTAAATATTTAATTGATAATAGTCAAGTAATCGGTTACTTGAATCAATTAATTTTTTTTCAGTGTAGTAAATAGTAAAGTTTATAAATAAAAAAATATAAATAATTAGAATATTAAAAAATAAACGGAATGACACAATAGATAAATAGAATAAATAAATAAAATTAATCATTTAAATGAATTTTATTTATTTAACTACAAAATAATTTAGTTTATTTATTTATTTTGTTTATTTGCTCTAATTAATTATTATATTTATTTGTTCTGTTTATTTATTTATTATATTTATTTCGGCCTTGGATATTAAGACTTTTTCGACTTTTTTCGACTATTTTCCAAAAATGCGACTTTTTTCGACTTATTTTCAAAAATTGCGACTTTTTTCCAAATGTTGCAACAAAATACCACATTATTTACTATAAAATGCAACGTATTTCGATTTTTATATTGTAAAAAATAAATGTACACAAATTTTTCAAACTTTTATTTTTAAATAATTTATTTACGATAGTAAAATTTTTAAAATGTACGTATAATTAAAGAATTTTAGAATAATTGAAATTTTGTCAAATTTAATTGAAAATAGTTTATTTTGTTTAAGTATTTTATTACAATTTTTGAAAATCAACTTTTGAAGAATTCCAAAGAATTTTAATTGGAAATTTTTAAAATAATTGAAATTCTCAAAGATTTTAATAAAAAATCTCCATTTGTAAATTTAAAAATGAAAACTAATTAAAATTTGCTTCTAAAAATTAATTTTAATTAATTATAATTAATTAAATTATTATTAACACTTTTTGGAGAACACAATATTATACATATGTTCAAAATTTTTTAATTAAAATTCTTTAAAAAAAATTTATTAGTTTTCTATAACTTACAGAAATTTCGAGAAATTCTTAACTCTTTGCCGTTGATATGTTACGAAATGTCGTCTAGAGTCCTTTTTGGGGGAACAGCCAATGAGAAGAGGCGTTTATGCTTGTGTTGATAAGTTAGTTATGTGTGAGTATGTAAGTGTCTAAACTTGCAGGATCGTACCTTCTTAAAATTTGAACCCATTTATATTTTACAATAAATTATATTTAATTATACTAATTGATCACTAAAAATACGATTTTTTGTGTAAAGTGCAAATGTATATTTGCAATTTATTACAATTTAAAAATGGTAAATTTGATTGTTAAAGACTTTTATCAAACATAAATATCCTATGTAAACATAACCTCAAAATCAAACTAACATCCGGCCCTGATATTGTCCACGTGATTCAACTGTCAAACTGCTTGTTTCTGAGGTGGGGAAAACTTATGTACGGCAAAGAGTTAAAATAAATTCAATTATTTTGAAACAATTGCAGTACAATATTTTTAAAAAACGAAATTCTTAGAAATGTTTTATCATAATTTTTTAACTATCAATTGCCTTCGAATAAGTAAATTAATATTGTTAAAAATTGAATTAAATTTTGAAAAAAACATTTTCATATTATTTTATAATTTAAATTCTTTACAAATTTTTTTATTTTTAAAAGTATTTATCAAATTTTAATTATTTTTAATAGATTTTATCAAATTTCAATTATTATTATTAGATTTTATCAAATTTCAATTATTATTATTAAATATTTGCATTAACTTTTTATAATAAACAAAGAATTATAAAAAATTGAATTTTTGGATTTAAATAATTGATTTAGAGATGAAATTTAGTTAAAAATATTGTAGAAAATAATTGAATTTTGTAAGGACTATAGTTGTAATTTTTAGAAAGTATTCAGTTTTAAATTGTAATTGTTAAAATTTTATTTCTTGTAGAAAAACAAATAAAAAGTATTTAAATATTTATTTAACAAAATTATTCAAGATTCGAATAATTGAATTTAGAAATCAGTGAAAGGTCAGGGAAATACAAAATAAAATTTTTGTGACAACACTAAATTAAATAAAACGACTTTTTCGAATTTTTTTTTTATTTTTAAACGACTAAAGCGAATTTTTTTGCGCCTTAAAGTCGATCCAAGGCCTGACTTTATTTATTCATTCTATTTATTTATTTATTCTATTTATATTTATTCTATTTATTTATTTATTCAATATTTATTTATTCTATTAATTTTTATTTATTTATTTAATTTATTTTATTAATTTTCTTTAATTTTCTTTAATTAAAAAATTAATTTTTTCTATTTATATTTATTCCATTTATTTATTTATTCAATATTTATTTATTCTATTAATTTTTATTTATTTTATTAATTTTATTTATTTATTTATTTATTTATTTATTTATTTATTTATTTATTACAACAAAAAGTACGTTTCGAACATAAGCGACAAATAATAAATTGAAATACATCAACAGATTGAAATTGCAGATTTAAAAATTTTTGTGGGGAGTAATTAGAATGCGATTCTTGAAGATTTATGGGGTGATTAAATGTCCATCGTTTAATACCATATATAGGGGGTGAAACGTACAATATATAACCGATGAAAGGCGATATAAATAATCGTTTGTACGTGCGAGAAAAGAAGGAAATCGATCACATATAGAGAATATAAAAGTATAAGAGTCATTAACCCTTGCAATTGCAAAAATGGAATAGAGGTTTCCATATGAGCGCCTATAGTTAATAAATTACCAAAGTATTGTATTAACCCTTTTTACAAAACTAAAGGGGGAATTTCCTGCCCACAATCGTACAACGAAATCAACCTGGGGGCTGCTGGACACCACGCACCATGGGGTGCACTTTATTTTTAAGTTCATAAATTTTTTTTTTAACCTTAAATTACGAGTTCATTTTTATTTTGTTTTTTTCTAAAGCGATGTTATTTCCTTTTTTATCTCGTGCGATAAAAATCTATTAGCGAACGCAGTAAATAAGTGTCATTAGACCTCATCCTTTAAACTCAATTTGCGACAATTTGACATTTTTTCCTCTTTTTACATTCTTATCACTTTCCAAACGTATTATTTTAAAATATAATTACAAAATTTTTGTTTCTCATACAATTGTTTGTTTTTGTTTATATATAAAGATTAGATCAAAATTATAAATAATCTTGCTCCTTTAAAAAATCCTAAAAAAAAATCTTGTTAACCTTTAAAAGTTAACAAAAAAACTTTTCATTTGGACATTTAGCGAACTTGTAAGAAAAACAAAAAAATAGAATCTCGATATAATTAACTATATACTTTTTTACACCAAAAATTTGTCACAGATCATAAAACTCGCCAAGGAATAAATTTTCCTTTCACAGTACACACTTCAAAAATTACTAGGAGAACGATTGTCATTTAAACGAGTCTAATAGAAAAAAAATTGAGGAAGGTAACGTATTAAAAATACAATTGAAGAGGTTCAACTGTATACCCTTTCTAACGACCAAATTGGGTCGAACTGTATATTTAATAAGTTTCTATTGTTTCAAAATAACAGCATTGTGTTGCGTTGCGCAGGTAAATTTTTTTTTCTAATAAAAGAATTTTTTTTTTTAAACATATTTTAATTCATCGTTCCCTGAATTAATTGGAAGCGTGAGAGTGTCGCTAGGCAAGCGCATCTATATACTATACACTCGTATAGAATTATTTCTATATTTTTTCTTTTCCTTCTTCTTTTTTTCGAATGCAAATTAAACGTGACGGCGCATCGAATTTTTTCCATTTATTATTCTTATGTATATTTCCAAATTGGAAATCACACCCCAATTATTAAATTATTGATCTTTTATTATATGCATTTCCAATCACGCACACAGGAATAAAAAGAGGATTTTTAATCTGATTATAATTTTTGACACGCGTGTGCATGATGGACCATCAGCATATTTACATCATTAATATTCTTTAAATGAAAAATATATCCCATATTTTTAGTATTGTAGGGACAAACTTTAGTCAAATTAATAAGAATATGAGACATTTTTCCAAAAGGGTTAATGACATTAGTTACGGATATAAGAAACAATTTTTTCTACACATCTGAAAATTCCAAGTTCCGAACGTTCAAATGAAGGGAATTATTTATTTAGTTCCTCAAATTAATTTAAGTTTTTAATTTTTATCGCTATCATAGTAATTTATAAAAATATTTTTAATGGAAAATACTATTTTAAAACTTGTTAATCATAAAATTTGTCAAAAGTTCAAATAAATAAAATTTAAAAAAGATTTGAAAAACTGTTGTTATTATTATGATTTTTATTATTTTTATTTTTATCATTTTTATTATTTTCATTACATTTAAATAAAACAATAAAAAAAATGTTTACTTTATGCGAATAAATGGAAATTTTTTATTTTTCCTCTTCTTCTATGTATTAACGTTTACAGGGAGTTTTTGATATATAATAATAATAATAATTCAGGGGTGCATTGGACAATCAATATATCGTCAAAATGTCCACGTGCCGGGAGTTTTTTTTT